TCATTAGTTCGACGTATCCCAATTACCATTGATATTAAGAACTTGAATATCGAATAGTAGTTCTAGTAGCTAGTAGTACTTAGTAGTAATCGAAGTACCTGGAAATTGTTCAAAAGGACTCTGATATTAGAAGGCGTGGCATCAGTGTGAATGTGAGATGGCCGGTTGCTGGTGTCTGGTTCCTTTTTAGATTCATAGCGTATGATAGCGTCTATACTTGAACTCGTTTGATTTGGAATCAGAGAGTCGATGCTATTGTTGAGAGTGTTAGAATCGTTGATTCGTTGAGATAATATCATATACCAAATAAAATAAGACTATATTATGTTGACCAGCCTTGATAGATCGGTAAGTTATACCTAGTTGTTAACTGCATGTTCTAAATCTACATTTCCAGGTTGAAACGTTCTCTATTATTGTGGTTTGGGAGGAGAAAACCGTTCCCGAGTTTTCCATGTTGGCCTGCGAAGTTGGGACACCCTGTATACTGAAATTCCAAGTATTATACAGGCTGTTAGGAATTTCTGATTGAGGATGGGAATTTCGATTAACAATTACCGGTTACCGAGATCTCCATGCCCAGCCACAAATTTGTAACAGCTTTATTAGTAAAATCGATCCAAGATTTTGAGTTTGTTAATTTTTTGTTATTCATGTACGACTATGAGAATTGTTTTTTCAACGTTTCGTTCGTTTTGTTAGGATGTTTTATATTATTTTCCTTGTTAATACAGTTCATGTTGGACAGTTTATTCAATGTGTTGTTTGTTCATTTGTGATAATATTATTTTGTTTGTTCATTTGTGATAATAACTGTTTTATTATACATATATATATATATATATATTTAAATATATTCCATATAAGCCATACTTTGTTCATATTATATGTTTTATCCGTTTTCCACGTTGAAATATAATCAGCTTCTTTGTTACCGTTTTGTTTGTTGTAAAAATTTATCATTTCAGGTTTCCAATTCACCAATCCTATACTCCCAATTATTCGTATCAGTGACTGAGATGCGATTTACATTATCATTCACAAATGTGGTCTGATAAACCTAATTTGTGAGTTCTCTGGCAACATCTGAAATTCATGTGTTTTTGACATGAATGAGAGTTACAAAATACTTCATTAAAATACATCTTTGCTATCGGAATGTGACACATCCAGTGATACGGATTGTGATTCACATTATGTAATAAGTAGCGATTCATTCGACTTCACATTATAACATCAAAAGTACCCCAATGTGCATTCGATTTTGAAGGAGAAGTGGTAGGTCACATTCAGCAGATTTCGAGTCACATTAGGCATCGCATTGTAATGCCTGAAGCCGGTCAAGGCGGCCCCGAATAGAAGTGTTGGCGATACTAATGTTAGTCACATTTCGACTCACTGGTGTGATCTGTAACATGAAAGTGAAGCCTACGAACATCTCTGAGATGATTTTGTGTTAACTGGGCTGGGACATCTCTAGTATGTACGTTGTCCCGACAAAGGACATCCCTGGGATGTCCTAGTATGAAATCAGGGACGTCCATGGGAAGTCCCTAGGATGTACTGGTGTTGTTAGGGCAGGGACAACACTGGTAGATACATCGTCACATTACCTTTTCGAGATACCCAACCAACGTGTCAAAATATACGTTCTTTAGCCCTAAATAGATTTTCGAATCTAGAAAGACGGCTCCTTAAACAGGCCAAGCTCTATGCCCAATATTTCGAATTTCTGAAAGAATACTTGGAGCTTAATCATATAAAACTCATCGTGGAAAAGACTCCTACTTCGGCTTGTTACTACATCCCGCATCATTGTGTCACGAAGCTTGGCAGTTCAACCACCAAGTTGAGGGTCGTCTTTAACGCCTCGGCTAAACTGCCAGGACAGAACTCCTCAAATGATCACCTTTTAATTGGGCCGAAACTTCATCAGGACATTGTAAGTATCCTTCTCCACTTTCGTTTATACCCTTTCGTTCTGACGGCCGATATCAGAATGATGTATCGTCAAATTTTGATAAATTCAAATCAGCAAGATTACCAGATTTGATATTGGCGATTTGACCTATTCGACCCAGTTCAAGAATACAAACTTAGAACCGTTACGTATGGCGTTAATAGTGCTCCATACTTAGCAATCCGTACGCTTCATCAGTTAGCCAAAGATGAAGGGGCAGACTTCCCGCTGGCCACTAATGCCCTACTTCATCATACCTACATGGATGATATTGTTATATCCACTCCGACAATTGAGGAGGCACGTAACCTCCAAAGTCAGTTAAGTGGCCTACTTGCCAAGGGTTGTTTCGAATTACGGAAGTGGGCGAGTAATGATTGCTCATTACTAAGCCACCTTCCCGAATCTCACCTGAGCATTAGTTCTCGTTCTTTCGACACTGATGCTGAAGAATCTCTCAAAATCTTAGGCCTACAATGGAGCCCACCTGCTGATAATTTCAAATTTTCTATAAATCCAATTACCTCACCATGTACCAAACGTAATTTATTATCATACGTAGCTCGCATCTTCGACCCCCTTGGATTGCTGTCACCCGCTACCTTCTTAATCAAGCACCTTATCCAGAAAATCTGGATTTTGGAACTCTCTTGGGATCAGACCCCTTCTCTAGATATTTTACGTCTCTGGGACAAATATCTCCTTGATGTACCATCTCTTGAACATTTTGAATTGCCACGTCTAGTGACTCCCTCAAATTACAAGTCTCTACAAATTCATTCATTTCGTTCACCATCTAGAGAAATCTCTACGTTATTTGTACTTTTCAAGTCTAAGGTAGCTCCGCTAAAGAGTATCACTCTTCCTAGATTGGAACTGTGCGCAGCAGGCTTAGCTACTCGCCTGGTTACATTGATTCTTCGCTTTTATGGAAGTGAACTCCAATTTAGTAGAATTTGTTGCTGGTCTGACTCCTCAATAGTGTTAGATCGGTTGAAATCTCCCGCGCCTAGATGGACCACGTTTGTTTCTCATCGCGTCTCTTACATACAAACGCAGGTTCCCTCTGCCGAATGGTTCCATGTTTCTTCGGGTGACAACCCTGCTGATTGCGGTTCTGGAGGGCTCTTACCTTCAAAACTTCTCAACTTTCCTCTCTGGTGGAAGGGCTCTGATTTCCTGAGAGACCCAGATTTCAATTTTCCTTGTGATATTCCATATTCATCTCCTGCACCAGAGGCGCTTGCAGAGGAGAGAAAAATTGCATCAATCAATATCAATGTTGTCACTTCTGGATTACTGGATTCGCTCCTGGATAAATATTTCAACATATCCACTCTCGCACGCATACTCTGTTATATGTGTCGATTCATTCAAAATCCTCGTCCACTTGCTCCTAAGTTGAATGGACATTTGACCACTTTGGAATTGAATGATTCACTGATCCGCTTAGCCAAACACACCCAAAGCATACATTTCGTGGGAATTGTGGGTTTGCTCAAATCGAGCCAAAATTCGCCCAAATCTTTCAGGAAACTCTCCCCTTTCCTTGATGACAACGATATCATCATGGTAGGAGGACGCTTATCGCAAGCTCCTATTAGTTATGATCGCAAGTTCCTTATTCTTTTTCCCAATCATAGCCTATTCACCGATCTACCCATTGTTTATTTCCATGAGAAATATTCACATGCAGGTAATCAGACTGTACAATTTCTCATAACCCAACAGTTTTGGATCATTTCGGCCAAACGCTCTATTTGGCGAGTACTAGCCAAATGTCTTCGCTGCTGGAAAATTCGACCAAAACATCTGCAACTTCCGATGGGGGATCTTCCTCCTGGTCGTGTTTCACGATGCAAACCATTTCAACATGTTGGCATTGATTTCGCCGGACCTTTTCGAATTACTTCATCTTAGTCCCGAGGAGCCAAAACATTGAAGTACTACTTTTGTCTGTTCATTTGTATGGCGATAAAAGCTGTTCATTTAGAACTCGTTTCCGATTTGTCTTCGGCTGCATTTTTAGCAGCTCTCAGACACTTTATTGTCAGACGTGGCAGACCCTCTGGTACTTACTCGGATTGTGGCACGAATTTCATCGGCTCTTACCGAGAACTATCCATGTTCATGAATCTTTGGTGGCTTGTGGGAACGGAATATCCAATCAGTCAAGACGCATTTGCTCAAAATCATTGGTGACCAACTTCTGACGTACGAGGAGCTTCAAACGGTTTTCATTCAAATTGAATCGATCATGAATTCACGGCCTCTTATGCCTCTGAGCAATGATCCTAATGATGTCAGTGCACTGACTCCAGGCCACTTCTTAACTTTGACACCCTTAACAGCCATTCCAGAACCTTCTCTTCTGGATACTAACCCCAACCGATTATCACGCTGGCAGCTTATCCAGCAAATGCACCAACATTTCTGACAGCGCTGGTCACGCGAGTACCTGCATTCCCTTCATCAAAGTGGTTGGATCCAGGTACTCCAATCTCCACTGGTACCTCGGTCGCTATCAAGGTCGACAATTCACCTCCACTACAATGGCCAGTACGGGTTCAGGAGGTATTTCCTGGGGCAGATGGGCATGTGAGGGTAGCCACCATTAAAACTGCAACAGGTCTTCTGAAGAGGCTCGTGAGCAAGCTGTGTCCACTACCAATTGGGAATTGAAATGCTCCGCATTTTGGTGGGGAGTATGTCGCGTCCCTACGCTTTTTTTATGTTGTGTATGTCATATGTTTTGTCAAATTAACAAATTTGCAATTTTCGAATTATTTTTCGCGAAATAGCCTCAGACCTTACTTTTTACACAATCTGGCAACTACTCGGAATTGGCACTAACCTTACCGACGGAGAACTAAAGACGAGAACCAGAAAATTGGACAGTGTGTGTTTTTACCACGCCGAGTGATAAGGATACCAACCTATCTATACTAATTCTATACTTATCTATACCGTTACCGAACCTATAATAAACCTCGCGAAGTGCGTGAGTTTTTCTGTTTCTGTGGAGAACCTACCATATATACGAACATCAAGATTACAGCACTTTGATCTCAGCCGGCTGGCAGAAGAACGAAGATTCCGATCAGCCTGGATTATCACACCAAGATAAGATATGAGTGCTCGAAATACCTATAAAGTACCTATTCGAGATACAGTCCACTCTGTTTCTTCTCAAGGTATTATTCTAATTATAAACCAATTCAACCAATATCCACCACTTGGACAGAGTCGTTCAATTTACCATTCAGAAGCAAAAAAATACGGGCCGAAAAAACAACGCGCAAAAACCGATCGTTGTGGCGATCGAATCGGTTGTGGAAACTAGTTATTATTTGCTATATGTATGGCAAACATTGGCAACCCACACGACTACACCTGACTGCTACCTAGGTAGCATGATTCTTTCCTAGATTTATATGAACAAATACGCGATCACTGACCTATATCAAACCTATAACAAACCATGGTTTTGTTACAAATGCTGTACAATTTGAAGATATATTGAACATTCCAGTACCAATGAGTTCTGATGATATTCTTTCGTTACTGTTTTTACAACTTATTTCGATGTATTCTTCCGAAGGAAACACATATAACCAAGAATTAGCATCTGCTAACTGAATTATTATTGGATTTGTTAATTTGGTTATTCACTTCTCACAAGATTCAGGAATATTTGTGCCTAAACTGAATAGATTAGCTTCCCAACCACCATGCAGATGAACCGAACATACTGGTTTCTTATGCTGACAAATGAACTGCATCTTCGCTAGCTCAGTGCACTCGGAAAATTCGTATATGTTCATCATGGAATAATGTTGCCTTGGAGTATCGACTGCTAAAAATTCACTTTGTGGAACAACCATTGCAAAAGTGGAATTTGCGATAAAAATTGGCAAACTAGAAACCTTAAAAATTTCAAAATTCCGAGTATCCATCAAAGGAATATGAATTATAAATGTCAATTCATTAGTGAAAAAATATACATTTGTCCTTACTATATTATATATGTACAGGGTGTATCATTGGGAAAGGCAAATAATTCAACTGTGGATAGGGGTCACTGGGGTGATTTCAAAAAACCCATGGTTGATGGGTCTTCGACTTCTTATAACCGATATACAGGATGTTTCATCAATTTTGTCCATATCTTCATTGTCTCATAACTTTTTAACCAACCTGTATATATTTTTAAAAATTGGTACACTTGCTCAATCTTTCCTGTGGAATTGATTGAGGCAACAACAAAAGATAAAATCCAGGTCCGGCTTCACTTAAAATTCACAAATTCTTTCTGTCAGAAAACAACACCCTATACATTCGAATTGCTAATTTTTTTTGCCATATCTGAAAAGAACATCAAAAGATCTATTCAACGATGTGCTTTTTATTCGTGCACAGACGATTTTAACTATTCATATTATGTGCTCAAAATATTATTTTTGCTCATTTTGGGGTACAAAATTGGAATCAGACGAGATTTATTAATTTTATTACTTCCTATTCAGTAAACGTGAGTATTACATTCAGAAGGAGTATTTCATATCGTTCTTTGTTCCAGACTTAGTTGCAGGTCAGTCATCAAAACTATACAGGGCTATTCACGGTGAGCGTTAATTTGACGTTTTCCGCAAACCAGGCAACGGATAAATCAAAAAATTCGAAGGTATGTATAAATTAACATGATCTACACGTTTGAAATATTTGAAACAATCCGGCGTTGCCGCTTCTACTCGAAAGTAGCAGAAACTTTGATTTTTCAAATGGGACACCCTGGATGCTTCCTGAAGAGCTGATTTAATCGATTCACAAAGTTCGGGGTCTAGTTCGACTAATAACTGAGATATTAAGAGTGAGAAAAATCGAGATGTTTCAACTTTAGAATTATTTTGCGGAAATATGTATTAGTGATCAAAACGGCTTTTATATCCCTATCTTAACTTTGTATCTTTTGACATTTAATCGAAACAAATACAGGATGATTCATAATTCAGATTTCTGCACCACCCCCTGTATCTGTTTCGATTGAATATCGAATGGAAAGTTGAGATAGGGACATTGAAGCCGTTTTGACCATGCGATAATGAATAGTTTCAACACAAAACATTTCTAAAGTTGAAACATCTCGATTTTCCACATCCTATATCTCAGTTTTCAGTCCCGCTAGACCTTGAATGTTTTGAATCGATGAATTCTGCTGTTCAGCAAGGATCGAAGAATGTAATGAAATACAGGGTGTCCCATTTGAAAAATCGAAGTTGCTGCTACTTTCTAGTAGAAGCGGCAAGGCCAGATCGTTTCAAATATTTCAGTAGTGTAGATTATGTTAATTTATACATACTATCGAAATTTCAGATTGATCTATTGCCTGGTTTGCCGAAAACGTCAAGTTAACGCTCATCGTGAAAAGCCCTGTATAGTTTTGATGACGGACCTGCAACTAAGTCTGGAACAAAGAACGATATGAAATACTCCTTCTAAATGTAATACTCACGTATACTGAATAGGAAGTAATAAAATTAATAAATCTCGTCTGATTCCAATTTTGTACCCCAAAATGAGCAAAAATAATATTTTGAGCACATAATATGAATAGTTAAAATCGTCTGTGCACGAATATAAAGCACATCGTTGAATAGATCTTTTGATGTTCTTTTCAGATATGGCAAAAAAAATTAGCAATTCGAATGTATAGGGTGTTGTTTTCTGGCAGAAAAAATTCGTGAATTTCAAGTGAAGCCGGACCTGGATTTTATTTTTTGTTGTTGCCTCAATCAATTCCACAGGGTAGATTGAGCAAGTGTACCAATTTTTAAAAATATATACAGGTCGGTTGGAAAGTTATGAGACAATGAAGATATGGACAAAATTGATGAAACATCCTGTATCTCGGTTATAAGAAGTCGAAGACCCATTAACCATGGTTTTTTTCAAATCACCCCAGTGACCCCTATCCACAGTCGAATTATTTACCTTTCCCAATGAAACACCCTGTATATATATACCTATATATATATATATAGTTATATATTCTTTTTCTTTATTTATATATATATACAGGGTGTTCCACAGGTGAAGGGAAATATTTCAGTGGTACATAGGGGTCGCCAAGGTGGTTCTGAAAATACTATATTTGATAGGTCTTAGAGTCTTCATAACGGAGATACAGGGCGATTTATCGATTTCGAGTGATTATCCATTCGTCTACAATTATTGAAATACCCGGTTTATCTTCCTCAAGTTTGGTATGGATCTTGAACTTGGGACGTTGAATTTAGTCACCTATCGTGCGGAGCGAAAATCCAGGTTCGGCTTCAGGAAAAATTTACATTTATTCGGAATATTAAAATAACACACTGTATGTGATGATTGACAGAGTTCATCAAAGGAATCGTGAAGAGGGAAAAAAACTGGACTGGATTTGATGCTTTTTGTTTTTCCGCCACCAATTCTCATCGTAACAATCATAAACAGAAGGCTAAAAGTATGTCAATTTGAAGAGTATTGAAATTATGAAACCACTTTCAGTTATGATTATTTGATATGTTCTTGTTGAATGATCGTTCTAAAGAACTTACTAATTCTGACAGTCTTTATAACAGAGATACAGGGTGAGTTATCGGTTTCGAATGATTATTCACTCGTCCATAAGTATTAAACTACCCATCGCAGTAATATTTTCTCAAATTTGGTATTGAGCTTACTATTGGGACGATGGATTCATTGACCTATCAGGCAGAATGAAAATACAGGTTCAGCTTCAGGAGAAGTCTCATAGTCTTCATAACAGAGATACAGGGTGAATCATCGAATTATAATTATTTGGTATTATTTCCATTCCGCCTGATAGGTTAACGAATCCATCGTCCCAAGTAATTCACCCTGTATCTTCGTTATAAAGACTGTGAGACTTAGTGAGTTCTTTAGAGCGATTTTTTGACTGAAATATATCGATTAATCATAATTGACACTGATTTCAAAATTTCAATAGTCTTCAAATTGACATACTTTCAACTTTATGTTTATGATTGTTACTATGAGAATTGGTGGCGGGAAAACAGAAAGCATCAAATCCAGTTCAGTTTTTTCTCCTCTTCACGATTCCTTTGATGAACTCTGTCAATTATCACATACAGTGTGTTATTTTAATATTTCGAATAAATGTAAATTTTTCCTGAATCCGAACCTTGATTTTCACTCCGCCCGATAGGTGAATGAATTTAATGTCCCAAGTTTAAGCTCCTCACCAAATTTGAGAAAAATGTACTGGGTAAGTCAATACATATAGACGAATGAATAATTATTCGAAATCGATAAATCGCCCTGTATCTCCGTTATGAAGACTCTAAGACCTATCAAATATAATATTTTCAGAACCACCTTGGTAACCCCTATCTACCATTGAAATATTTCCCTTTACCTGTGAAACACTCTGTTTATATATTGCTGATCAGTAGGAATGAAACCAGTGTATATTGGGGGTAGCAGCAGAGTAGAAGGAATACTCTTTGACATAGGAGTCTCCTATGTGTCAGCGAAATGATTTGAATTTTCATTCATCTCTTCATCCAGATTATTTTAGTATTTGAAATGACTTCGCTTAGTATTTTCAGAACAAGACAGGATACTAATGAAGCAATACTCATAACGTACATGTTCACCTGAAAGATGATTCATGCACCCAACTGACCCAACCACTATTGATTTTCATGTAATCATAAGGAAGAGGCAGGTATAACCGTTACACAAGCTCTCTTTATTCTGACATAATTCGTGCTATTGAAGATGGCAGTCTTCTTTTCAATCCATAATATACAAACCATTGATCGCCAGCCAACGGAATGACAGTATTGTGAGTAAACGAAAGAAATACGATGTATCGATCGGAAATACTATCATATTTGTTGTAGAATAACAGATTAACATAAAATGAATACCTAAATGAATGATATGGAATTGATTCCAATGGAATTTAGACAATATTCAGGAATAACAAGAAGGAACTATCTCTGATGTTCATTTGACACATATATACTATTGTTTTGTCCATTAAATAAAATGCATGATCATAATATGATCGATGTAACCATAGCTACACCGTTTGTTTGTATTGGCACACTATAATTCCATGCTCCCAAATTGAGTCGATTGTGGTTTCAAGTGCACTGCAGTTTCC